AGCCTGACAGGAGGTTCACATAGTGTGCATCTGTATGCAAACCTTGAGATAAAAAATGCTGACTTAGAAGTGTCGTGGAATAGGACAGACATTGTTGGGAGAGAAATGGAACCAGAAACAAGTTTCAAAAGATGGCCTTGCAAATAAGACTGGATCCTTTTGAGAAATAGAACTATGAAAGATGCATTGTAGTAGGATCCACGAGGGGTAATTTTAGATTTTTGGTTTTGAGGCATCTACAGCATGGTGTGGCAAAAGCTGATAGACCAAGAAGCACTTATAGTGTGTTGTAATTAGGGAATAATTGGCTTCGGATTGTAATGATGTGAATGACAACATCTGTGTTGTCTCACCCTTCACATGGGACTGAAAATGGAATACGAGTTTTTAAAATGCCTCTTAGTTGCCCCGTCTCTGGGTCAGAAAAGGGCACAATCTGACATGGTGGGATGAGTCCCATCGCTGGAGAGCTGCACTGGATGGCTACAGGCTCTTCAGGAGAGACAGGAGAGGGAGAAGAGGTGGAGGGGTGGCCCTTTATGTTAGGGAGGCTTTGGACACCACAGGTATTGAAACTAATGATGATAAAGTTGAGTTGCTATGGGTAACAATTAGGGGGAAGGCCAGCAAGGCTGTCATCCTACTGGGAGTCTGTTATCATCCATCCAGCCAGGAAGAAGAGGCGGACAGCTTGTTCTACAAGCAGCTGGAGGATGTTCCGGGATCACCAGCCCTTGTTCTTGTAGGTGACTTGAAGGAACAGCTTTCGTAGGTGCCTGGCGTTTGCTCAGAATCAAACCACAAGAGCCCGGACATGAAAGCTGGTTTTTATTGACTGATTGGAATAGTAATATCCTCATTAAAACATGTCTGAGATGTCCTCGGTTCTTCAGTGGGGTCTTGTGCACCGGGAGCTGGGAAAGGCGGCTCTGCAGCAGCTGGATATTTCAGAGAGCCGAGGACAGAGCCCTTCCCGAGGACACACGGCCAGAGGGACTCCAGCCACAAAGTTACCAAGCCAAACCAAATACACAGAGAGTCCAGGAGGACGCCGGGAGCTCACACTGTGCCAGAGGAGCTGTGAGCCCTGGGGATGTCCAGCCACAGCCACCTCGGGGTGGGTGATGTTGGGAAGATGTTTGAGCTCTGGGACACGTCCCAGTCTCTGCTGGAGCTGTGGGGGGAAAGGGCAGGGTCTGCCCCTGGCTCACCCCAGGGCTCTCTGTGGGATCTGCTGGGCACCATGTCCAGCATTCCCGAGGTGGGACAGATCCCTGTGCCAGGGAATGTGACAGATCCCTGTGCCAGAGCTCTGAGTGGAGCAGGGTCAGGCACTGGGGATGCTCTGTGCCCTCTCACTCTGCTGGGCACCATGTCCAGCATTCCCGAGGTGGGACAGCTCCCTGTGCCAGGGAACGTGACCTCCAGAGCTCCGAGTGGAGCAGGGATGGTGCTGGCAGTGGGGACAGGCACTAGGGATGCTCTGTGTCCTCTCACTCTGCTGGGCACCTTGTCCAGCATTCCCGAGGTGGGACAGCTCCCTGTGCCAGGGAACGTGACCTCCAGAGCTCTGAGTGGAGCAGGGATGGTGCTGGGGATGCTCTGTGCCCTCTCACTCTGCTGGGCAATGGTGCTGGCAGTGGGGGCAGGTGTGGATGTGACAGCCTGGTCAGAGAGTAAGAAAACCAGATACGTTTTCTCAGGGTGGACTTGCGAGACTTCAGGGAGTTGTAGAGAAATGATGATAGCTTGTTATTATAAACAACCTGGAGGTGGTGTTTTCCTACTCTCTGTCTTCCTGTTTTTCTCAAAGATTGTTTATAGGAAAGGTGGTTTTGTTAATTAGCCAATCAGGTGAAATGTATTGATTGATTGACCAATCTGGTCTGAATCAGAACAGTCTATAAAAAGAGGGAATTTTCGTATTGAAGCGGCTGCTGTGCAAACCAGCCTTCTGGTGAGTCTGTCTTTTCTTACTCAGTAATGACAGACAGGCACGGGGGATGCTCTACTGCTGGGCACCATGTCCAGCATTCCCAAGGTGGGACAGATCCATGTGCCAGGGAATGTGACATCCAGAGCTCTGAGTGGAGCAGGGTGAGGCACTGGGGATGCTCTCTGTCCTCTCACTGCTGGGCACCATGTCCAGCATTCCCAAGGTGGGACAGATCCATGTGCCAGGCAATGTGACCTCCAGAGCTCCAAGAGGAGCAGGGTCAGGCACTGGGGATGCTCTGTGCCCTCTCACTCTGCTGGGCACCATGTCCAGCATTCCTGGGGTGGGATAGATCCCTATGCCAGGGAATGTGACCTCCAGAGCTCAAAAAGGAGGAGGGATGGTGCTGGGGATGCTCTGTGCCCTCACTGCTGGGCACCAGCATTATTGAAGAGGGACAGCTCCCTGTGCCAGGCAATGTGACCTCCAGAGCTCTGAGTGGAGCAGGG